GGTGGGGGCCGGGCCGCGCCGCCCGCCCGCCCGCCGGCAGGGGGGGCCCGGTTTAGTCGTACATCTTGCTGGCTCTGCCGCAGTAAGCTTGGTCTGCCGGCTGGAAGGGCAACGGGCGTGAATAAAGCGTGTCTTGTCTCAAAGAGGCGCTGGAAAATACCGTGCGGATTTGTTTCCGCTGTTCGGAGGTGGCACCTGCTGTCTGGTTGTGGTAGCTCTTTAGCCCGCTTATTTCTTGGATTGCTCTATTCTGCGCTTCCTGGCGAGGTGCCTCCGCTGCTCCAAACCTGGCGTTAAGGCTCCCCGGTGGAATCTAGTCTGTGTGGCCACTGCTCCCCTGTAACTTGCTGTAAGCCTGTGCGGTTGAAAAATCACCCCTGGGGTCACTGTGATTCGACACAAGGTTTTGTTGGCTAGGAAAGTACGGCTTACCTGGCATTTGTGAGTCTCTTTCTGCTAGTTACCCCGCGCTACCGGAGGCTTCTCCCCTTGTCCTGGCTCTCGACGGCCTTGGGTCGCAGTTGCTGAGTTTTTCAGCTCTCTTGGTTATCCAGAGGTAACAGGCCTTTAAAAAGGTAAATGTGCCTTGTCCTGGGCAGTCTTCTGGGTCTCTGGGTCGCTTTTTAAATACAGGACAAGTTTAAAATGAAAACAATAATTAGTTTATTCTAATAGGTATGCAAATAACAGGCTTACAAATTGGGCAAAAAGGTACAAGTGAAGAGCGTATAAAATCATGCCCAATATCAATTACTTATTCTGTGGTAGCCTAAAGGTGTTTTATGTCCTTTTTTTTTTTTTTTTGTAGAATTGTATGCCTCTCACCAGGATTAGTGTACTCCCCTTCCATTAAGTTTTGTCAGGGTGATGTTTGGTTTTGGTTTTTTTTTTCCAAGTTGTGTGAGTATTGTGCTAGCATCTAGGTGTCCTTGTCAGGATGGAGGGCTTGTTCCAGTCAGCACACAATGATTTGTTCTCACAAGAAAATGCTTATTTGAACCATTAGGTTAAATGTATGGGTGGTATTGAAGATCCTTCTTTCCACAGTTTTTGAAAAATATTCTGAAATTGGCAGTTTTTTCAAACTGTACAACTTAATGACTTTTTTTTTTGTTAATAACTTGCTGAAGGTGAATTTTGTGTCACAGGGGGGGTGTTCTTGGTTAATAAAAGCAGATGGGGGCGGGGACTTGACACTGCGATTTTTCAGCAAGTGAAACACACCCACTGAGGTATTCAGTCTACTGTCTGCGAATACTTTTAAAGTTTATTTGATTAGCTCATACAACGTAGCGTAAATGTAATAAGCTTGCTCTTGGACTGGAGTAACAGAATAAGGACACTGTCGTATTTCCGTCAGCACAGGTAGATCTGCAAGCAGACCTTGCGGTCCCTGTTGCACCAGTACGTGCTAGCAGGATCAAGACCGTAACCTGATTGACTCAGCTCTTACTCTAGTCAAGACAGACGAACGGAGCTGGATCCGTGCTTGGCTGTTTGCGATACAGCAGTTTGAGCTAATGTGTGTATTCCGTAGGTGGCATTCCCATGCAAGCACATAGTAACTATCTAATTATTGTTTTAATTATGTATAAAATAATGATTCACAGAGTCTGATGTCCTCTTTAAGGTGCGTGCTTGCTCATGAGTAATTTCGTCAGTGGGGTTACTGAGAGTGCAGACTGCTATACAGAATGAGCAACAGAAGGAAAAGATGTCTGCTTACATATTGACATAGCAACCGATTCTACTTTTTCACCATGTGTTGCAAGCACACAGCTCGATAATGTGTTTCGATCTTAATTAGAGTATTTCCATAGCATTGAGAAAAAGCTGTTGAATCCCACTAATGTTTATGTGCTTAGGAGTACTAACACATGCAAAAGGAGTATGGGTCGTCTTTTAGATAAGGGGAAAATAGTATTATTTCTTTCCAAAGAGTTGATGGATGATTTTGTTTGTTTGTTTTAAATACAGTTCCGAGG